TTTGAACTTTTAGCTATTTGACTTTTACCTCGTATTCCATCCGTAGTTGCAAGAAATCGGCAGTCTGTCCAAAAAAATATATACAAACAACAAAACAATTAAAATTACTTGATGACTCGTGAAAGTAATTACTGAGTATTATTTTAAATATAAAGGTAGGAAATTACCAACATCCTCTAAATATAAATCACTTAAAGGCACATGTAAATTAATCCAATGGTATTCTTCTTTAATAACCCACGTACGGTTGAGGGTATCCGTCAATGTTGTATGAGTAAGTTCGTGATCATAACAGACTGGGGTTTGCGATCGATCAAACTATGCTTGACATCTTAAAAAGGAACCGAATAGATATCTTCGGAAATCTCTGCATTACAAAAGAAAAAAAAAAAAGTAAAAGCAGAGCACAAAAAAAAAAATTAAAAAAATAGAGCTTGATAATATGAGTAGCTCACTTATTTTATTCATGAACTACGGGATATTACGTAAATGATTATAAGGGTACAAATGAGTTATTTAATTATATATATATATATATATATATATAATTGTTAATAATTAGTTTATTAAAAAATTACACTTATACGTCATATCTAGTGATACAAATCACATGAATCTAATAGGTTTCAATGATAAATTAAACCATTGCTTACCACTAACCCTCATCACCTCAGCGGTTACAATAACGGACGAAGTAATTAATAAATTACATAAAATTATTTATGAATTAACAAATTACATAAATATTTATAATAATAAAAACAAATGATTTATTCAACAAAAATATTATCATTTTGCCTCGTGCCACCAAAATAGTAGAAACGGTTACGCCCAGTTGTTTTGAATTACCCAATAAGGCCCACAAATTTGTGTTTGATGCAGTAGCTGGCATTCTCCCATCCCACAACCATAGAAGCGTGCATGCTTTGATGCCACATGTTTCTCTCCTCTCGAGTATAATACATCCCCTCTCTCTCTAAGGTAGGTGCTAGCCTACGAAAACCATATATGGCACCATAAAATGGACCTCTGACACGCATAAGACTATTTAATAGGTCAAAACTTACTCTCACTCCTACATTTTTGATATCATTCTGAAAATCTCCTTCAACGGTGGTGTAAGACCAAATTTTGTGTGAACATGTCCCTCGCCAAATAATTATAACGATCATTTATTCGACGCTTTATAGCATACTCCAATTTAGTAGTGATCGGAGTACAATCTAATAGTCGAAATAAATCTTTACCCGTATCGTGATCATCACTAGATATTTGAGCGAGACGTTTGGCAGACAAAGAATGTCCCACAACCCCATATATGTAGTTTCCAGGATTTGAACTTTTACCTCGTATTCCATCCGTAGTTGCAAGAAATCGACAGTCTGTCCAAAAAAATATATACAAACAACAAAACAATTAAAATTACTTGATGACTCGTGAAAGTAATTACTGAGTATTATTTTAAATATAAAGGTAGGAAATTACCAACATCCTCTAAATATGAATCACTCAAAGGCACATGTAAATTAATCCAACGGTATTCTTCTTTAATAACCCACGTACGGTTGAGAGTATCCGTCAATGTTGTATGAGTAAGTTCGTGATCATAAACAGACTGGGGTTTGCGATCGATCAAACTATGCTTGACATCATAAAAAGGAACCGAATAGGTATCTTCGGACATCTCTGCATTACAAAAGAAAAAAAAAAGTAAAAGCAGAGCACAAAAAAAAAAAATTAAAAAATAGAGCTTGATAATATGAGTAGCTCACTTATTTTATTCATGAACTACGGGATATTACACAAATGATTATAAGGGTACAAATGAGTTATTAAATTATATATATATATATATATATATATATATATATATATATATATAATATATATATATATATAATTGTTAATAATTAGTTTATTAAAAAATTACACTTATATGTCATATCTAGTGATACAAATCACATGAATCTAATATGTTTCAATGAAAAATTAAACCATTGCTTACCACTAACCCTCATCACCTCAGCAGTTACAATAACGGACGAAGTAATTAACAAAATACATAAAATTATTTATGAATTAACAAATTACATAAATATTTATAATTATAAAAACAAATGATTTATTCAACAAAAGTATTATCATTATGCCTCGGGCCACCAAAATATTAGAAACGGCTACGCCTAGTTGTTTTGAATTATCCAATAAGGCTCACATATTTGTGTTTGATGCATTAACTGACATTCTCCCCATCCCACAACCGTAGAAGCGTGCATGCTTCGATGCCTCACGTCTCTCTCCCCTCGAGTATAATACACCCCCTCTCTCCAAAGATAGGTGTTAGCCTACGAAAACCATATATGGCACCATAAAATGGACCTCTAACACGCATAAGACTACTTAATTCTTTTTTTGTGCTATGGTTAATTTGTTCAATTTTTGGAAATATTTTCTATTTTGGTAGGTCAAAACTTACTCTCACACCTACATTTTTAATATCATTCTGAAAATCTCCTTTAATGGTGGTGTAAGACCAAATTTTATGTGTAGTAGTTCCCGTCATGTCCCTCACCAAATAATTATAACGATCATTTGTTCGACGTTTTATAGCATACTCCAATTTAGTAGTGATCGGAGTACACTCTAATAGTCGAAATAAATCTTTACCCGTATCGTGATCATCACTAGATATTTGAGTGAGATGTTTGGCAGACAAAGAATGTCCCACAACCCCATATATGTAGTTTCCAGGATTTGAACTTTCAGCCATTTGAGTTTTACCTCGTATTACATCCGTAGTTGCAAGAAATCGGCAGTCTGTCCAAAAAAATATATACAAACAAAAAAAAAATAGAATTACTTGATGACTCGTGAAAGTAATTATTGAGTATTATTTTAAATATAAAGGTAGGAAATTACCAACATCCTCTAAATATGAATCACTCAAAGGCACATGTAAATTAATCCAACGGTATTCTTCTTTAATAACCCACGTACGATTGAGAGTATCCGTTAATGTTGTATGAGTAAGTTCGTGATCATAAACAAACTGGGGTTTGCGATCGATCAAACTATGATTGACATCATAAAAGGAACTGAATAGGTATCTTCGAAAATCTCTACATTACAAAAGAAAAAACAAAAAAAAAAAAAAAATAGAGCTTGAATATATGAGTAACACACTTATTTTGGATGATTATTCATGAACTACGGGATATTACATAAATGTTTACAAGGGTACAAATGAGTTATTAAATTAATATATATATATATATAATTGTTAATAATTAGTTTATTAAAAAATTACACTTATATGTCATATCTAGTGATACAAATCACATGAATCTAATAAGTTTCAATGAAATATTAAAACCCTCATCACCTCAGCCAGTTCGTTGTTGAGCCTCAACCTTCGAGGATTTAATTCTATGCATACGAATAAATAGATTAGTTTGTTTTTATTTTCCATTATCATAAAACTTTCTTCTTAAGCAAATGAAACCGAAACTAGTGTAACAAAGTTTTTTAACGATATATATATATATATATTATGTTATTTCTCTAAATATGTGGCTTACAAATTTTAAAATCTATATTATACTTGTAAATGTTGTATGGCTAATTATTAATGATATTGTTCTAATTATTAATCACCCCAAACAAACTCTTATGTGCGTTCATAACGTAATACAAAACTTTAATGTAGTTACATAATTTGTACAAATGATTTAACAAGTATATAAGTCAAAGAAAAGAAATGTGAGGTTGATCAAGTGATAAGTGGCTTAATAATTGTTTGGGTCCAAATGTTTTAATTACAAAAGCCCAAGCAAGGTTCAACTCTCCAGTTCAAATGCCAAGTCAGTCAATGGTCCAGTCAACGTGGCAAGCCCACTTGATCTCAAGGCCCATTCATCCATCAAGCAAGGTATAAAAGCCTTCAATTATCTTTCTTTACATTCATCCACATTAAGCCTCAAGCAATTAACTCTCTTGCATAGCTTTCTCTCAAAACATTGTACTGACTTTAGCATCGAAGGGGTCTTCCTCGGTACAACCCCCGAGGCTAGTTTACGTGTGTTTGCTGTGCAGAAAATCCTCAGCCCAGTCATCACTTGGACCGAGATTAGTCACCGAAAAGGACCAGCCGAAGGTCCTATTGTTTTCAACCGAAACAATTTGGCGCCATCTATGGGGAAACCATAAAAAAGCAAGCCAAAAATCAATCACCCTTAGCAAAAATGACTAAGAGTGAAAAGAGTACTAAGAAGAATGATCCTTCCTCTTCGAGGAAAGGTCCAATTACGGTGAGAAGGAATCCACCTATTCCACATCACCGGAACCTTCTTTGTCTTCTTCGAAAGCTCCCTCTTCCCCGGAAAGGGTAGCGTCGGAGAGGTCACCATCCCATCATACTAGCCAACTAGCTCATGTCGGCCGAGTCAATCCAATGCGAAGAGTCCTCCTCGAAGCTTCCATTCTCGGTCTCAACCGAGAATAACTCCTCAAACGGGGCTCTCTATGGAGGAAGTGGCGAGAGCCGTAGCGGTCTTCATGGACTTCATGAAGGCCCAAGGAGGCAACTTTCTACCAACACCTCGTGATCACTCACCTCTTCCGCCAAGAAACCTTAAAAAAAGGACCGGCCAAGAGGAAAGTGGACGGGCTCCATCCTTTAAGGAGCTCGGGGATAAGTGGGAGGAGGACACTTGGAGGAATGAACGGGAAAGGAAGAAGAACCCTCAGTTCTTTGAAAATTCCGGGACCCGGGACTCCGGAGCTTCAAAAGCAGTAATACCACCTCCGCGTGGAAAGAGCCTGCTCGCCTTAACGTTCATGAATGTCTTGGCTTAAGGGAGGTGAGTGTGCATAGTCACCTCACCTACCCCGAAGGAACCGAGCCTTATCCCGAATCGTCCCAGCCGAGGACGAAAACCACTTCAACCTTTTTGGGAGGGAGGAGCGAGGTCCCGTCGGCTAGGCGTAAGGGAAAGGTCGTGATGGTTCCCACTAGCTCACCCTTCCAAAGCTGGATTTTGGAAGAACCTGTGCCAACGGTGAAAATTCCGGCACACATAACTTATGATGGTACTTCGGAACCGAAGGACCGCATTGCCTCTTACGAGAGGCACATGTACCTTAACCTTAGGTCCGAGGCAACCTGGTGCAAGTACTTCCCAACCACTCTCAAGGGTGTTGCACCAGTGCGGATCACCAAGGGAGTAAAGGAAGGCTTAATAACTGGTTGGAAAGACCTTTCCAACAAATTCAAAAGCAAGTTTTCTACGGCAAATCGTCGAGAGAAAACGACTGCAGAATTGATGGGTCTGCAGCAAGGGGAGGATGAGAGCCTCCAAGACTATCTGACTCGTTTCAGCAACGAGTCGTCCAAAATTACAAGTCTGGACCAAGGGCTAGCCGTTTTCGCACTGCGGAACGGCCTGCAAGCTGGAAAGTCCCTTGACTTCATGGTCATGCATCCATCGCAGACCTTGGAGGAAGCTCTAAATGCCTCGGACAAATACAACCGGGCCGAAGAATGGAACAAAACCATGATCCAAAGCAAATCCCAGTCTCAATCCGAGGCTGGGAAGGCAAAATGACAGCAGTCCGAAGGCCAAGACTCGAGGAAAGGGAAAGCAAAAGCCTCAGAACCGTCCTCGGCTCCTGAGTCGAAGAAAGAAAAAACCCCATTCATGGGGAGATATGAATCGTACACTCCTCTCGCTCCTTCACGTGCTAAAATCTACAGCATAAATAAGGACGAGGGGAGGTACAAGAAGCCAAGGCCACTCCCATCGTGGCATCAGCAGAAAAACAAGGACCGATGGTGTGAATTCCACGAATCTCCTGGGCATCACACTAAGGATTGTATCTACTGAGGGATCAGATTGAGGATATGGTCTGCAAAGATTACTTGAAAAAATTTCTCGCGGATCGCCGCGAAGAGAAAAAAGCCGAGAAAGATTCTCGGCAAGAATTGGATTTCCCCCAGAAAAAGGACAAGCCGCAAGGCAAAGACAATCCTGATATCCTTGTAATTTCTGGAGGAATATACTCTCCTAATGCATTAAAACGCCACCTGAGGGGCTTGACCCATCAAGTAAATTATGCTGACATCCGAGCACCCCAGTCTACGGTGCCGAACATCACGTTCACAGCCGAAGACTGCCAGGGGGTGGCATACCCCCATGATGACCCGCTGGTAATTGTTACGGGCATCGCGAACCACAACGTCTGGCGAACTTTCGTCGACGGTGGAAGTGATGCGTATATCTTCTCTCGGGAGGCATTCGACCAGCTGAAGTTGGAAACCAAGCACCTGACTCTAGTACCCTACCCGGTATCTGGGTTCAATGGTTCTTCAACATACCCTGATGGGAAAGTTTCTCTTCATGTCACCATCGGCAAAGGTAAGCAGCCCAGAATATTATGGCCGAGTTTTTAGTCGTGGATGTTCCGTCTATGTACAACGTGATTATGGGGAGACCCATAATTCACGAGATCCAAGGATTCGTCTCGACTTACCATCAGATGATGATATATGTCTCGGATAAGGGACACTCTGAAGGAATTCAGGTTAGCCAAAAGGAGGCCCGAAGATGTAACTACCTCAAGCCATCCAAAAGTCGCTGCGACGACAAGGATGATGAGGAAGAAAGAGAAAAGGATCGATGCACAAAGAATCCTAAAGGGTTAAGTGCTTCGGCCCAAGGCACCCCAACACAAGAAAAATCTTTGGGGAAAGAAAAAGTTGGTTCCTCATCTAAGCTGAAATACTCCGCCAGCCGAAGTCTGGGAAGCCTGCTGATATGGACAACAGGCCAGATTGTGAAGAGTCTAGTGCCAAAGCTATGGAACTGGACCATCAGACTGAATCAATAGATTTGACCGAAGGGGATACTGAAAAATGTGTCAATATCGGGCTCGGACTTGATCCGAGCGTCCGCGTTGAACTTATCCAACTCCTTCGGGACAACAAAGATGTGTTCACTTTCTCGGCAGCAGACATGCCCGAGATTGACCCGAACCTCATCTCTCACAAGCTTAATGTTGGCCCACATGTGGACCAGTTATGCAAAAGAAGCAGAATTACTCCGAAAATAAGAACCAAGACATTGCAGCCAACGTAAAAAAAACTCCTGGATGCAGGTTTCATTGAACCTTGTCAATATCCGGAATGGTTGGCCAATGTGGTGATGGTTTAAAAGGCAAATGACACCTGTAGTATGTGCGTTGACTTCACGGACCTAAATAGGGCCTGTCCAAAGGACTTTTATCCCTTGCTGAGGATCAATCTGTTAGTCGACTCGACAAGTGGGCACGCCTTGCTTTTCATGGACGTATTCTCAGGATATCATCAGATCTTCATGCATCCCAACGATCGAGCAAAAACGACCTTCGTTACAAGCGTCGAGGTGTATAATTATAAAATGATGCCCTTCGGATTGAAAAATTTGGGGGCACATATCAAAGGCTAGTTGATCAGGTATTCGCCGAGCAAAAAGACGGTAACATGGAAGTCTATGTTGACGATTCTATCGTCAAAAGCAAAAAGGACAAAGACCATGTCACGGACCTGGCTAAAACCTTCACCACCCTTAGAAAGCATCAAATGAAGCTGAATCCGAAGAACTGTGTCTTCGGCGTGATGTCAGGCAAGTTCCTCGGCTTCATGGTCAACAAAAGGGGGATTGATGCCAATCCCGCCAACGTGCAGGCAGCACTTGATCTTCCCGAACCAAGAACAAAGAGGGACGTTCAGCGTCTCACCGGAAGAATGGCTGCCCTGTCCAGGTTCATCTCTAGAGCCTCGGACAAAGGGTTACCCTTCTTCAAGGCGCTGAAACTTCCAAAAACTAAAGAGCTCATTTGGGAAGACGAGCAAAAAGAAGCCTTTAAGCAACTCCGTGAACATCTGGCTCAACTCCTGACGCTGGCACGCCCAGCCGAAGGAGAAACTTTATACTTATATGTGGCAGTTAGCCCGGCCACTATAAGCGCGGTTTTGTTGAGGGAAGAAGAAAAAGTTCAGCAGCCGATATACTTCGTCAGTCACACTCTAACAGATGCCGAGACTCGCTACCACCTACTCGAAAAAGGTTCCTATGCAGTAGTGGTAGCCGCTTGGAAGCCAAGGCCCTATTTGATTGCCATCAAATACTGGTCCTAACGGATCAGCTGTTGGAAAAAGTCCTCGGCAAAGTCGAGAAATCTGGTAGGCTTGCGAAGTGGGCCTTTGAGCTCACTGAGTTCAGCATCAGCTACCAGCCGAGAGCAACCATCAAGGCTCAGGCCTTGGCGGACTTCCTGGCCAAGTGTTCTTATCAAGAAACACTAGACGAGAAAAAGAATGTGTGGACTATTTTCAGGTATGAATCCTCCACTGTAAATGGTTTAGGGGCAGGGGTAGTCATAACCTCACTCGAAGGCAAGTCCTTTGAATATGCATTGAAACTCTCATTTAAAGCTTCAAATAATGAAGCCGAGTATGAAGCAGCAATTGATGAGTTCAGCATCATCTACCAGCCGAGAGCAGCCATCAAGGCTCAGGCCTTGGCTGACTACCTTGCCGAGTGTTCTTATTAAGAGACACTAGACGAGAAAAAGAAAGTGTGGACTATTTTCACGGATGGATCCTCCACCGTAAATGGTTCGGGGGCCGGGATAGTCATAACCTCGCCCGAAGGCAAGTCCTTTGAATATGCACTGAAATTCTCATTTAAAGCTTCAAATAATGAAGCCGAGTATGAAGCAGCAACTACTAGCTTAGAGCTGTGCATAGCATTGGAAGCCGAGCATGTCTGTTTAAAGACAGACTCTTAGCTCGTTTCAAATCAGATCCGAGGTGAATATGAGGCCAAAGAGCCCTCAAAGATAGCTTATCTTGCAAAGATCAAAACAGTTATTGCAAAGCTGAGAACTCTTGAAATCGAGATGATCCCAAGGGGTCAGAACGCACAGGCCGATGCACTCTCCAAACTTACAAGTTCAACTTTAACTGAGCTGAACCGATCTTTATATGTGGAGGTGTGTTGAGAAAGAAGTGTGGACCGCCTGAGATTTGCTCCGTCACACAAGAGCCGAGTTGGATGGACCCCATCCTAGCATACAAGCTTCGAGGAGAAATTCTCGAAGACCGGAACTTAGCCTCCAAACTGAAGAGAATCAGCTCAAGGTTCATCATCTTCAGAGGAGAGATGCTGAAAAAAATCCTTCTCAGCCCCATTACTGAAATGCGTGGGACCAACAAATGCTGACTACATCTTTCGGGAGATCCACCTCGGCATATGTGGAAATCACATCGGGGGTAGGACTTTAGCCCACAAGGCATTAAGGGCTGGATATTATTGGCCAACCATGATTCTAGATGCTAAGGAGCTGGTAAGAAAATGCGAAAAATGTCAAAAATTCGCACCAGTCATCCATCAGCCAGCCCGAGATCTTTAGTCGATCTTGAACCCGCTTCCATTTGCTCAATGGAGGCTGGATATTTTGGGGCCATTTCTCGATGTTCCGTATCAGAAAAGATGGCTGATAGTCGGCATTGACTATTTCAGCAAATGGATCGAGGCCGAAGCAGCCTCGAATATCACAGAGCAAACTGTCAGGAAATTCATCTGGCAGAATATTATCACTCGCTTCGGAATTCCGATGGTCTTTGTCTTCGATCATGGGAGACAGTCTGATAATTTTCCACTAAGGCGGTATACTGATCAGTTCGGCATCAAGTTGGCATATTCTATAGTGTGTCATCCGTAGAGTAATGGTCAAGCCGAAGCCGCAAACAAGCAGATTCTCAACGCTCTCAAGAAGAGAGTTGAAGATCAAAAGTCTAAGTGGATAGAGGAAATTCTAGGAACCCTCTGGTCACTTCGGACGACTGAAAATGAGGCAACGGGACATTCACCTTTTGAGTTGGTGTATGGATTCGAAGCCGTTCTTCCAGTGGAAATCGACACAAAAAGTTTGCGGGTAAATCTCTTCTCGGCCGAAGAAAACAAGCAGCTCATGAAAGAATCCCTGTACTTTCTAGACGAGGTCAGAGATTCGGCCCGAGACAGAATGGCTGCATATAAGCAAAGAATCAGCAAATTTTACAACCGAAGAGTCTACGCAAGACTTCTCAAAATTAGGGATCTTGTCCTTTGGAATGCTGCAACTGTGCAAAAAGGCCGCATTCATGATGGGAAACTCTCAACCACTTGGGAGCGACCCTATGAAATTTATGATGAGCTTCAGCCTGGAGCATAACGACTTCGGCAGTTGGATGGAACAGAGTTGAAAAATCACTAGAATGCTGATGTACTGAAAAAATACCATGTATAGATCCTTCGGGGGAGAACAATCTATGTAAGTGCATCTCTCTGATTAATGAAAGGCCTTTGAGCCACCATTTCTTTAAATTTAGCAAGTTTCTATTTTTCTGTCTTCGATGTTTTTTGAAAAAAATTCAAGGTTTCCCTTCGGTGTTGTACGAAGTATTGCTCACCAGCAGCATTGTACTTCGGCAAGCCGTCAAACCTGTCGAGATGAGGATAAATGATTTCACCCCCGAAGTATTGCCCCCAAGCGGCACTGTACTTCGGATGAATCAGTTCCTTCGGGCAAAGAGGCCGTGGACGAATCTGAAACATTGCCTAAAAAATAGGAACAATGATTGCACCCCCGAAGTATCGCCCACCAGCGGCAATGTTCTTCGGATGAATCAGTTCCTTGGCATTGTGTTTTAGATAGTCATCACCTCGAATGAATTATAAGGATCAGGAGGATATTGTTCTCGGAGTCTAAGATTTCAGAACAACTAAATCAGATCCTTCATAAAATAAAGTAGAAGAGAAAAGAAAAAGAGCATAAACTTGAAGCAAAAAAGTTGAAGCAAGCACCTAAAAAACCTGAAGATCTCAACTTTAGATTTCTAAGGGGGGCAAGAAGCACTCAGCTAGACAAATCCAAGCCCAAGCTCAGTACTTAGGAAATTTTTGCAAAAAAGCAAGAAGACAAAGTAAGAAAAAGAGCAAGACATAGGAAATGAAAGCAAAGCAGTAATAATTCAAATGTGCTCGAGACACGTTCAAGTTAAAAGTTTCAGACCAAATACAGAGAAACAATCTAAATCGGCAGCCGCCCACAAGTAGAAAACACGGGTGCCGAACTTAGTACAACTACTCAAAGCAAAAAAATAAATAAGAGTTTGTACAAGGCAAGCTGAAGCAAAAATCAAGGCAAAAACAGATGCGACAGAAATAGCAGTTAAGCCTAAGTGGATCCGCATGACTCTGAAGACGACTGCCCGAATCCCTATGCTTCAGCATCAAAAGAATCAGGTTGAGCAGTTGGGCCCTTGGAACATCCAGCACCGGCTGAAGAGGAAGCAGGATGAGGTTCTTTCTTTTTAGCTTCTTTAGCTTCCCTCTCAGCCTGAGCCTTGGCTTCGGCCTAACGAGTGAGGAAAGCAACCTCAGCATCGTGGGCTATGTGCAGATTTGGGTGGCTGGGATTCATCGACCACTCTTCAGCTGTATCCCAGTTGATGCTCGGATCAGCATGAAAAGCTAGGCGCCGAGCTACCTTAAAGCCATTGTCAAAACCCTCGTCATATTGATCTTGGGTATAGATTCTGACTTGCAACAGCTTCTAGGCAGCCTCAAGATCAGCTTGAGCCCTAGTAGCCCCATTAGTCTGCACTTTCAACTGGATCTTGACGCCATCTAGCTTGGCTTGGGCCTTGGAAAGTTCTGCCTCTTTAGCTTCCAGCTGATCCCTTAGTCACTTAACCTCAGCCTCCAGCTCAGACTGCCTCTGCTTGACTTCAGCCTGGATCAGAACAGCCTTTTCATTAAAATCCTTGCCCAGCTTCTGCCGAGCCTCAGCTTCTTTTTACATCTTCTACTCGATCCGAGCCTTGAAGCTCGGGATATCCGCAGCCCTATACTCCTAGATTAGGGCCTGACCCTCGTCTATCCAGGGAAATATGGACTATTCTATTTCTTGGCAAAAGTTACGGAAGCTGGTAGCCATCTCGTCCATTTGAGCTCGGCATGCCTCAGATTCTTCTTCAGCTTTGTGGCTCTTCAGCTCAGCAAGCTGAGCTCGGCACTCAGCTTCTTCGGCCTTTTTTGCCTTGCCCTTCAACCTACAATAAATATATTAGATTATTATTATTATTATTATTATTATTATATATTAATTATTATTATTGTTACAATAATAATAAACAAACAAAGTCATACAACCTACAATAAATTAGTGGGAAGCCGAGATACAATTTAGGCCCCCACTCCTCTAGCTATAGCAAAGCCTACCCTAGTGAAGATATAAGCTGCAGCACGAGCCCCAATGTCTTGCGTTGTCAAGAACCTCTGAACCCGCTTCATCAACGCAACTGCCTCCTTCTCTAATTCCCCAAGTGAAGAAAAGGAGAAGGGAATGAAACCGTATCCAATCAGCCGACAACTAGCCTCATACTTCACCCGCTTTCGATTAGCCGCATTAGCCACAACCTGCCCGGGAACAAAGTCAGATAGCCCTGTCTGTGTCAAAGGAGAAGACCCTGTTAAGTCCACACAAACATCGCGACCACGATCCCAGGAATAAAGTAACACATCAGCAGGTCTGAGGGCCCCGTCATTCCCTCCAGACAACCCTATGTCAACCTCCTTTCTTGCTAAAATCCCAGATCTGTAACAGATATCAACAAGGGTATCCCGGACAACATTATGTCGATGTTTAATACCCACAATACCAGCACACGACACCGCGTGATCACCGAAAATATCCCCAATAAAAACCCGAGAACAAGCAGAGCACGACATCGAGATAGAGAACAATGGAACACCCATCCTGTCGCACAAAAATACAAAATGAGGTCCTACCGAGATATTTAATTATTATTATTATTATTATTGATATTTAAAACATGTTTACTTAAAACCTTTATAAAGTCCACCTGTCTCATAATTAGACGATCATATAAAGACCCGCCCCATTTATTTATCAAACGGATCTAACCCATATTATAACTATGACGGGTCATGGCTTTTAAAGGCCTCCATTCCTATTTCCTACCTCTGAGTTATTTCATTGAACCGCACTCAACGTTCTCCATTGAAGCGTTCTCCGTTGAATCTAATTCTTGTATCCCCCATTGAAGCAGCTTCTAAGGGAAGTTGTTTGTTGTTGTTATCATCACAACAATTTCACAATCTAGGGTTTATATTTGATCTAATCTAATTTAATTATCAGTGCTTTAAGTTTAGGGTTCGTAAATTCTTAGATTATGAAACATCATATCCAAAAGAAAAGAAAATTTTGAGCGTAATTTGATTATTGAATCAAATATCCCTAAAATTATGTATTTTTTCGAGAAAATTCAATATGAAATTAAATCTCTTTTCCCTGGGCCTAGGGCGGCCGCCCCTCCTGCCCTGCCTCAGGGACGGGCCTGATGTTTGATTTTGTAGTTTTGATTGATTGTGTGTGGTTTTGTAGTTTGAATGGTGTCAGACGCTAGCAAGAAGAAGGCTGCTCAGAAGAAGGCTGCTCAGAAGAAGGCAGCTGTGGCGGCGAAAAGAGGAGGTAAAGCGCCTGCCTCATCGAAGGCGGCAGCTCAAAGTGTTGATAAGGTTACTGAAGCAGCTGGGGATATGGTGATTTCTGATCGGAATTGTACCTGTATTCTTTGCTCGCATCCTATGTCAAGAGATGTTGGGGTAAGTTGATTTTCGATCTGTTTCGTGCCGAATTTCTTATTCCTTTGTTTATTAGTATATGAAATTCTGTTTTTGCTGTTGATCATAAGAAGGGAGCTTTAGAAGGATTTTTTTGAGTTTACTAATGTTAGTTAATTGAGGTCTATTTTGGGGTTTGCTTGAACTGAATAAGAGGGCTGGATTTTTTATATTAAGGGGTTTATTTTTTTTTTAAACAAATTTATTTGGAAGTAATCGTAATGTTATGGATTGTTTGTATCGGGATAAATAATTCATGGTATTTTGATGTTAAAATAAAAAAAAAAGAATTTCCTGTTTGTTAATCTGACATTGAATGGCGAGGTTTGAATGATATGTTAGCCACCGAAGTTTGTGGTGTAGAGAATATGTGATTGATCGATTTTTTCTTGCATATTAGTCTTTGCAAATATTATGGTATTTGCAATCATGTCTATATATATTATGGTACTTGCAATCATGTCCATATTCCTTTTGAGTTTCTTTTGTTGAATATTTGATTGGTAATGGAGTCTTTTCTTTCACATATTTTTATGTGCTTGTTCACAAATAATGTGGTTAGCTGGTCTCACTTTTAACTTATTCTTGTTAGCTATGCCGCATTTAGACCGATAATGCCTAGGCAGCAGATCGTCTGTCAGGCTGTCAGCAGGGTGTTCTGCTATCTATGATGCTGGATTAATTGAATGAACTTATAATATTGTGAATTTTCCCGATATGTCATCCCTTGTGATCCCTTCTTACTTGGGAGTTAAAGTTATGTATAATATGCTTTTGTATTTTGAGCATGTGGCTGCTTTTAGTTTCTGTAGTTCTCTGTATTCTGTTATTTTGCTGTGATCATACTCCTCTAATTTGCAGATAGAGTCTTCTTCAGTTACTTTTCATGGGCATGATCAAATAGATCTGATTGACTCAATGCTGGAGCTGCATTATGGAAGGTTTGTTGCTATCTTAAATTTATATTCTATACTTCAATATTATTATTATATTTGAACTTGTTTTACTCTAGGCATAATGCATTCTAAACTTTATTTTATAATTTTATTTGAACTTGTTTATATTCTTTTGGCCTAAGTAATTTTCTTGATTTTCCTAGAAAGTTGCAAAACAAAGCAAAAGCTATTAATTATTATTAAAAATAAGGAAAGAAGATATCCAATACAAAAAGATGCTGTCTTTTGGCCTCTTTTACCTAAGCTACCTTCATTTATGTTCAATATCTCACAATCCACCTCTTCCTCATCACCACCATCATCAACAAAATCATATTGTGGTATGTTTGGCATCATTTGACTAATTGATATTGTTTGTGCTTTTTTTAAGCATAAACGACTTTACTTCCTCCCATGCATGCTCGGGAGAATTAGGGTAGGGCATTTGGCTGTGTTTCTAAATCCTCCAATCAAGTGTTGCTTCAAGCAATATGGCCCTCCCTTAGTTACTTCAGCACAAAAGCTACATACCCAAGTCCTTAGTTCATTTTGCCACCTTTTACTTGAGATCTTGGGCGGGGTGATAACTGATAAGGGTGCCACCTTTTACTGCCAAAGTCCTTAGTTCATTTTGCATCTCTCCCCTCTTAGGGCATACATTCCTGATGTTAGCAGGGCTCTTGATGCGCCTTTTAAAATATGTAATATGGATTACGTGTCTCTATAGTCTCACGGGTGCTTCTAGTCTCTAATTCTCTCGTAATTGTTTGCATGATCTCAACTATTTTATGCTTTTTTTTGTTCAGTTGTATATGGTTTGTGCTTTGTCTTTTGTTGATTCTTAGTGTCTCATTTCTTTGTAGATCAACACTACTAATTGTGTACTAGTTTTTTTGTTGCATTTTCTTTATGTGTTGTCGTTAACATGTGTATTTGGTTTGTGTATTTTGTGTCACAGCCTAAAGCGTACGCCGCTTTCTGCTTTGACTCATTTAAGTCCCAGGGAGAGAACTTCTAAGCATTCAAAGAAGTATATTCCATTGGCGGTCAAAGCTTTAGAATACTACAATTCTAAGGAGGTATATGTTCCCTTTTTTTTTTGTTGTTTACACAAACCAAATCAATTAAGCCACATATGATGACAACACAAAAAGAAAGTGTAACAAAAAACTAATACAAAATTTTTTCAGTCAATCATTAATTTGTTATCTTTTTTTTTTCAACTTGTATGTAACTCATTTATTGAAGCTGTTTTTATTTTTCAGCACAAAAATCTAAAGTTTGTGGGAGTATGTGTTGCCGCTGAGAATGGTGACTACGTGCATATCAATTTCCATGGCAGTTCAGATGATGCTTCGGAGAAACTACTTTTTGCTGAATTAAAATACTCTAATGCAAAAGAAAACGATTGTGATACGCTCGAAGTGGAAGGGTGTTGTGTGTTGGAAAAAATTGATTTGGGTATGTTTCTTGACATGTTCAGTTGTTTGAGAAATATTGTTGAGCTTTGGGGTGTTTGGTACGTGGAAATGTGAGTTTGTGGATTTTGAGAATGGGATAGGGATTGATAATTGGTTGTTCTAGATTCTAATATGTCATTAAATTTTTGTTATTCACTTCTCCTTCCTCCTCTCTACAATTTAGTCTTTTCTCACCTCCCCTACCCCCTTAGGTAATAAAATGGGGGAGTTAGGGTACGAGGGATTGGAAGTTTATTACCCATGAAACAATCGTTGGAAATTGTTGAGTTTGAGATTTAAACTCACACTCCCAAAGCTTAATTCCTTTCAAACAAATGCACTATTGATGTGAATTCTAAACTCTGATATGTCAATTCCTTTCAAACAAATGCACCATTATGTGAATTCTAAATTTTGATTTGTCAATTTTAGCTATTAACTTGATGTTACTTTTGACACCATTCTATTATCAACAACTCAAATGTCTTTGGCTCTAAACTCACTTTTTATCTTCATGTTCGTCTTTCGTAAAATTTACATAACTTCATTGATGGGTAAAACTCATATGATGCAGGAAACCCACTTGGTAGGATATGCTGTGGGGGAGTAATTCATCCAGGACCTAGAGATGGATTTCGTATTATTTCTGGAGATCCTTTTAAGGATTACAAATTTTGGGACTATCATCCATATGCATTTGAAGCAGTTAGCCAGTATTCAGAGCTCACTACACATTATCAAATGTTCCATGATTGTGCTATGAAAGCCATTGATCACTACAACTTTCATCAGGTTTGCTCGCTTGTCTATTGTTATCTTGCAATTTTTAACACTTTTTTTTAAAAAATAATTATATTGGTTAGTACTCATAATGCACGATTTAGCTAAAATAATTTTATCAATGTTTATAATAAAAAAAATTATAATTATTCAGCATAATTACTTGAGTTGTTACGGAGTAACATTTATGAAATTACTTTAAATATTGTAAAAATGGGCTAAATATGCTATAATATGTTTATAATCAAAATTATGCGTTATAGTGTTTTTATGTTTTACGACATTAAATACTCCAGAATACATAAATCTTATCAGGCTTAAATGAATTTCATTGAGCCTATAACACATAATTTACAGTTGCTCTTTCTAAATTAGAAAGTAAAAGTTCCTCTTATATAAACTTAGTTATCCTACTCTTTTAGTGAGAAGCATTGATATACAAATCAAGTTTAAATCTACACGCTATACTTTTAGCAGTTCGGCTCAATAACCTAGTTGTAAAGCCTTTTCCTTTCAGCATTTATCCTGAAGCTTAGTCTGTTTTATGGATGTCAATAAATACTCGTGATCCTCAATTGATAACTGTTAAACCAATAAAATTTACAGCTGGGGAAAAAAGGTACATTGGAGAAATGAAGTATGAGATAATAGGAACCATACTGAATTACTGAGGTGATGTAGAATATTAACAACTTTAAATATCTTCTACCTCATTTTATAGTGTTATGTACCTTCAAAGTCTAAAATAATAGCATCAATTTTGGGTATTGTTTCAGGATGCCAAGTTCAAGTTTGTGGAAATGATTGGTGGGGCTTCTCGCGTATCTGATGTCAAAAGGATTATCCATATCAATTTCAAGGGCAAGTCGAGTTTCAAGCAAAAAGAAGTGTTGTTTTTTGCTGAGTTGTCCATTCCATTGTTCGAAATTGAAGTATCTTCCCGCTGGGAAGATTACAAGAAGAGTTTTATTCAGGTGAAAGGGTGTTGTCAGTTGAAGCTGCTTGATTCTGGTAATTATTTTGACATTATATTTTAGAATTTTAATTTGATATTTCATTTCAAATATTGGTTAAGTTGGAAAATGTCATGCAGGAAATCCTTGGGGTAGAACTTGCGGATTATGCTATGGAAGAGTAAAGCATCCTGGTCCAAAAGATGGTTACTGTATTGTAGCAGGAGATGAATTTATTGGTTCTGATTTTATGAACATTGGTCTTGGTATCTATTAGAGAGTTAAATAGACGTATTAGTGATTTGACTTAATGATTGTATTAGTGGATTCGACTAATTGTATTAATTGGTCGTATACTCGTATGAAAGTGTTTGGTAAATATTTGATTACCTAAAGTTATTTGAGTAAAACTACAAATAAGCTAATTGTGGGGCAAGTAGTTGATAATTTGAGATAAGATTTGGAGTACAAATTTAATTTTAACTTAATATTAAATGAGCTTATTGAAAAAAAGCTTATTTGGTGAAGAAACTAGGGGTGTTCAGATCCGGGTACCCGAAAATTCGGGTATCCGGATTTTCGAGTAGTTGATAAGTTGGCCCGTGTTCTGTGCCGGATTTTTTTTTTATTTTTTTTTAAGCAAATCGTAAACTTAACAGATGGTGAATGGTTTCCAATTTTCCACTGTCTCAAGTATTACAAGAGGCATAATGTGGGTGGAAATTTCCTGCTCTTCCTTCCATGCTTACGCCTACATTAGTCTGGGTAACATAATTTCGGATTCAAAATCTTGCATCTACTCAGCATTCTGTCCATTAATTAACCAACATGCAGATAAACATGTTTGGCAAAAACAACTCCTCGTTGAAATATGTCATATTGCCATTCCTGTGGTTTCTACTCCTTGCTTAAGATGTTATAATTTATAATTTCTTGTAAATCCATTCGAGTATCCAACAATTATCAAAATAAGCACACACATGTTGACAGAAGAGGATTCAATTTTGATTTTACAACTCAAAAATTAAAAATCAAAGACTTGTAATATACCGCAAATTTAAGGCGTGGAGGAAAATTGAGCCAAATTTCTGGAGGAATTTCTGTACCATATATCTCTGCGTAGCCATTTAGCAACCGAAGGTGAAGAGGCGGATTCTCACCCACCTCTATTCGCAATTCACCCGGATTTCTGTTTCTGGGTTTTTGATTTTAGTTGATTTTAGTTGGTGGGTGCTGTTTAATTCTGGGTAAAGATGAACTTTATGAAGCTTGGATCTAAACCTGATTCATTTCAGACTGGGCTGGTTAACGGAAACTTTTTTTTTTTTTTTTAAGCGGGTATCCGGGTACCCGAGTTTAGCAAAGTCTGTCCTATGTCCCGGCCCACAAAACTGTTATTTTCACGGGACGGGTACCCGACCCGAAAAAAACAGAAAAATATGTTAATTTTTCATCGGATTTTTTGCGGGTCATCGGGTAATAGGAAAGGACAATCGGGTCGGATTTTTTTGAACACCCCTAAAAATAACACAGGTGGATGAAAATTTTAAAACCCCGCAATGAAGAAAAAGGGGGAGAGTGACTAACTCATAAGTCTCACAAGTCCAGTATGCAAAACTATTAATACATGAAGAAAAAGGGGAGACTAACTTATAATATACTTGTATATATTATTGGATTGGTCTTTAACGTATTTTTTAAAAATATAATCATAATTTTTTTTTAACTAGATAATGTATACAATAATTAATGGTCAAAGAAGAGTATTAGAAAGTGAAAGGGTCAAAACAATGCATCTCTTATTAAACGGAGGTAGTAGGAGTGTTAGTTAAACAAATTACACAAAATATTTAAATAAAGTAAGATCGAGTGAAATTCTCACTCGCTTTTTCTCAATTTACTTGTCTTAGGTCATTTGCACATGGTTTTATGCAAGTGAAAAAGTAGAACGGATGAAATGAATAGGTGAATGTGAGACCCAACTTACACGTAAAACTAGAAGATTTTTTAAATAATAAAATAGTCAAGCAAATTGGGTTAATCCAAAAAACAGAGACAAATAATTGAGGGAGAGGTACTTTAGCCTTCTATCAATCTCCATAAAAGTTAAAATAAAAAAGTTTATTATTCTTTTTTAAAAAATCCCAAAAGTTAAGAATATACCATAATAATGAGAGTAAAGATGATTTTGGCCCATGTTGGGATGTGCCCATGGGCTTGGCTAGGCCTGGCCATCATCGATCCTACTCTCCATGTGTTGTGCCTAATTTTCAAAATTGCGACTCAGGCATGCCAGGTGTCATTGTAATGTATCGTGCTTGCATATATATGGCAAATGTAATTTATTTTAGCATTTTTAGTCATGTCGGGCTGGATCAGGTTGTTTCTTGCTTCTCTAAAATATTTGTGGTCTAGACTTATGTTGGCATACAACCACATACACACAATACAATTAATATCATGCCATGCATATCTCGTGTTTGTGGTATGCCACACTTTTTTCATGCTAAAACGTGCAATGGCATGGGACGACCTGACTTGATTAGTGCAATCTTTACATGAGAGGATACTAGCTAGCTCCAGTGGCGGACCCATGTGTAGTCATAGTGGGTCCGCGGACACCTATTATTTTATATAAAAAAAAACCTAAGTATCAAGAGCTTTAGCTTGCAGCCTAGTGGTTTTTTCCCCATCCTACCACATACGAGATATGGGTTTGAATCCCGTTACTCACAAATTGAAACCCTAAACTTCAAAGTCACCCAAATTGAAATCCGCAGCAGCCCCGTCCCAGTGTCCCCGTCGCCGTTCACCGTATCACCGACAACCTTTTCGTGCTTCTCCGTTAGGCGTGAGGCGTCCGTCAATCCGTCTGTGAGGTTGTCGTAGCGTCGTGCTCGTGTAGTGGCTCCCCAAATTCTATTTTTTTAAGTTAGTTTTAAACTTTTAATTTATAATTACATTGCAATAAGATTATAAATTGATTAGATTCTATATGAAATCATCAATTTAAATGTTTAATTATCAAAATTATCAGTATATTTAATATCAGTGTATGAGTTTTTTTTTAGTTTTTTTTTTTGGTTGAAATTTCTTGATTTGATTAGTGCTTGATATAGTATTAGGATCTATAGCTGCATACTTCAGGGTTCTTCAGGTTTATTGCTGCAATTTCCGTGTGAGTTACTTTTCATGAAATTTGCAACAACTCTTTAATTTTTGGTTGCTCAATATCTTACTTAGCATAAGATGTAAGACGGTTTTGGGGGGATTTTTGTCAACCTCCTTTGTATGAATTTTCCGTGACTAAGCTTGAACTCGATGATGCTCAGGTAGTAAGTAGTCATTCCGTCCATTCTCCCTCCAAAAAATGCTATAGAAGAGTGAGAATGTGACAAGAAGAAAGTGACCAATATTGCTTATGAGCTTCGTATTCCCATTCTGACTCCGAATTCTAATTTCTTTGCCAATAAAACCTGAGGATAGTATTATTTCTGTTTAATTGATAAATGATAATAGTTGTCCAACTTGCTTATTAGCTATTGAGAATGGTGATTGCTAATTTGGAGATTTGGGGTTTGGTGGACTGAAATTGAGGTCAATGGGCGTTTTTTTGATGATATTATTAGTTTTAATAACCTTGAGAGAACCCTACTTGTATGATTTATCTAATTCAACCTTTAACTTCAATTTCAGAATGAAAATAAAAACATCTCGAGATATTTCAAGTTTTTTTTACTGAAAAAGTGCCTACTCTTGTCACATTATTTCAAGCATGGATGATATTGTACATCGTTATCAAAATATGAAAACTCGTCGAGAGCAATTGTAATAAAATTAGTACTTTTTTAGTTGTAATATGAATTTGAATTACTTTATGAAATGAACTTTTTTATGTATTTTTTTTTGTCCATTATTCAAGCTTTGATTATTTTTTGATATTTTATGCGGTCGGTGGACGATGATGGGATGAGACAACCTATTATTTAAATCCTGGATCCGCCACTGGCTAGCTCTGCCCTTAATGGCTACATTGTTGTAAAGATTTGTAACATATATACCACAAACCTATATCAAATTCAAATGATCTGAAACCAAACTAAAACTAAAATTGTTCAATAGAAAAGAAACCCATTGCCAAGAAAAAAATAAAATAAAAAAGGTAACCTTGATTAACTAGAATAAAACAGTTCATTTGTTAGGGGGGAATAAAAGCAATTGGTTTCACATTCATGCAAAAGATAGTAGACAAAGAAACAAAGGGTTTAAAACAATTTCATTACCTATTATCCGAAAGCGTAATCAATGGGTAAATCAAAGGCGTATGACCAACAAACAAAGCAACATGATCCATGAGCTTATCTTTCTTAGAGAAAGTAGTTCCACAAGAACAATACCATTTGACATCTCCACAATGCTTCTCATGCGTCTTCAAATCCGAAAGGACCGAGAATTCCTTAGTATTACACCTATTACACACAAACATCTTGGGGCAATGGCTTCTCTTGTAGTGATTTCGTACACACACCATCGACTTTAGAGGTTGAAACTTGACATGGTTCTTGTTCCACCTACATCCTTTTTGTGGACACGAGTACTTCCTAGGAGGTTTTGTCGTCGTGTTGTTTTCTTCGCTGTTCTTTTTCTTAAGGGGGTCACTCATGAGGCTTGACTTGTACTTGTCCCCATGAGCTCGCATGTGCATCCTTAGGTTTGCCTCTCGCTTGAACCCTCTACCACAAACTTGACAATAGTGGGTGTACTTTGCCAGTAGATCAGCCGCGTCTACCTCCACCAAGTCATAAGCCTCCATCGACACCTCTAACTCTTGGTACGTTTTCTTGTTGATTGCTTGGTGATTGTTGAACTTAATTCCATCCAAAAATCCTTGACTATTGCTATCAACTATAACCTCGTCTACACTAAATTGGCCATTATTAGCCTTTTGCATTGTATGTGGCTCTTGATCTACATGTACATGACTAGTACTATTATTGATATTGTTGTTAGTGTTACCTGTTTGTACATGTGTTGGTCCAAGGGTCATCCGTTCGCAGCTGAGCATCATCAATGAGGTGGTTCAGATTTCTTGTATTAGGTTAGCCATGCTTGAAAATGCCATCGAAGAGGTCAAGTGATTAATTGTACTATGAGCATGATATTGGTTTTCTTGGGTAAGAAAAATGCTCACAAATGAATCAACTTCGTGGATCTTCTCTTTCAAGATTGATAAGCAAAAAAGAATGGACCTAATCGACTGTGTATGGTGTATGCCCTCGATACTAGCATTAAAGCTCGTCTCTACCACATCATTGTACAAGTTGCTAGGATGACCATGGTGCATGCCTCCGGCATCATCTCCGTTGCTAAAACAAAGAGCTTCCCCTTGAATCATCTCACAAGTATTGCACAAAAGGACTACTTAATGTTTATTTTGTTGCAAAAGAAGAAAGATTATAGGAAGTCAATGAACAACTTCACTAATGTTATACATGGAATTTAATTAGTTTATGTTGAATACAACCTCCCTTGGATGTGTCACTGAAAAAATTTTAACTTGTACGAGGGATTCGTTTACTAAGTTCATTCACTGTATCATTCTTATATAAAAGGCTATTTTAATAGTACGATGTTACAATTTAGTATGTTGTAATTTGTATTATTCCAACAAAAACTACAGATAATTGTCATTAGATAATTAAACAATTTCTCGATATGTAGTTGTCATTATCCACGCATTTGCCTCATTCAAGAACTTTATGGTAATGTTTATTTGAAATGCATGTTATCGTCATCTCTAACGTATCACTTCTAATTTATATTTTTTGATTGGTTTCAATTTGGTGGTCCTCTAGAGATATGTAGAATAGAATAATAGACAAGTTTCTATATTGTTATAAGTGTAAATTTTTTTAGTAATTGTGTCTAGGCAAACTGCATGATTCATCCCGGCTTTATATATAACAGATAACAAGATTCTTTGAATATAAGAAAAAGACTAAAAAGAATCTTTACTACAACGTGCACTGAAAAGGGTTTGACCCCACCCTGATCCACGCATTTATCACTAGATCAAGTATTAGCTGGTAATGGACTATATATATATATATATATATATATATATATATATATATATATATATATATATATATATATATATATATATATATATATATATATATATATATATATATATAATTTGCGATTGTTACATTCTTTAATTGTATACTATCGTATTTCTAAATTAAAAGGTTAATTTGTATGTGAAATATCTATGTCCGGCTAGACTTTATTTTGTTGTAGATAAGAATGAATAAGGTGTAAATTGATGCAAGAAGTACTCCAAATTTAATTTCCCTTAGCTTATTAAATAAAAGTTGTGCAAGATTTTTTATCAAAATGGCTAATTTCATAAAAGTATTTACCAAAACGGCTACTTGTAAATTTTAATTCCAAAACTAGCTAAAATAATGTTTGACTTGGAAGAAAATTATTTATTTCTTGTTTTCCTTTGAACTAGTTTGGTTCACTTTTTTGGATTTTTTTTTTTCTTTTGTTTTTTGGGTTTTTTTTTTATTTTATTTTTTGGGTTTATTTTAGTTGGAAAGTTTTAAAGCTATATACAGATATACGTAAAGTCGTTCATAAGAACCCTAATTTCAAGATAAAAAAAAACCCAATTCTTTGTCTTGAGCGTATCACAAAAAAATTGGAATTTGAAGTAGTATTGTTCTATCAACACAACCGCAAATTTATACGACGATAAGGGATTTTAAAGTATTGTTCATCTTTTTCATGTTCGCTAATTGTATGCTCTCTGCTAATGTCGGCTAATTTTTGTTAATTGGAAGTTTGGAACAATTTTTTGAGTGATTTTTTATTTTGGGTAACTTTATAAATAAATTGAGAATTATTGCAAATATATTATGTTGAATGTTATTTCCCAAATTAATGGATATTTTAAACTTAAAATTTTCCAAAAAAAAAAACCAAAATAATAATAAAATAAATAAAAAAACAAAATTTTAAATTAACCCAAAAAACAGGAAATGTGGGCAAACCGAAATTTAAAGGCCATATACTACGTACAAAATTACTGGCCTTTAAATTTTCCAACTAAAAAAAAAAAGCAAAATTTAAAATAAACTCAAAACAAACAAACAAACAAAAAAAAAAACACCCAAAAAAAATGAATCTTTCCGGTTCAAAGATAAATAAGAAATAAATTACATTATATTGAGTGAGACCATAAATAGAGCCCAATCTAATTCAATGTACATTAGCACAATAGCACATATTGAGTTATAACAAGACAATCTTATCTTCTTTCTTTTATGTGGGACAAACATTCATACATACAGAATAATAAATTCCATTTTCGGGTTGGTGGTGGGTTGGAGTGAATGTTCACGGGTTGAATGAGATTGAACCACATTTGGTTTGGTCAGGGGTTCATAGAGTCACGTGTGGTCGTGTGGGTTGGTTCAAGCGATTCATGCCTTGGGCTGGGTTTTTGCTTGGGTCGTGGATCAAAATGTTGATTTGCAACCCACCCACCTTGAAAGCCGGAATGTGCAAGATTAGTGCCAGTTTGTGAGGACTTATGACCATCCATTGACGGGGTTGGTCTTGGTGGTTTGTGAACCCGGCCAATAACAATCAAACGTTTTGATAAACTCGGGTGTGTTTTCTATTCATTTAGTTCATCTGATGAACTTAACTAAACTTAGAGCTTACTTATACTTGTTAAACCTTATTAGACAATACTTAAACTTATTAAATTTTTATAGAGCTTATTTTAGTTGTAAACTAAAATTAAGTAACACTTATTAACTCTTATATGAGCTTTATTTAAGCTTATTTTTCTGAAATATGTGGAAACAAAATTAACACAATAGGTGCATATCATTACTATGTAAAAAAAACCGAAGTTTGCAATTGAACGTAGTTTAGGCCGAAAAAAAAAAAAGTCTAGTCAACAAAAATTTAGTTTCAACAATTGTTTAATATAGTCAACATAAATTTTAGTTTGCAATTGAATGTGATTTCCACTTTCCCCTGGACTTTAATTAGATACCTATGTGAATACAGGATTAGAGTTTAATTGAACGAGTTTATTTATACATTTAATCAATCATATATTCAAGGATTAATTATACATTTTATCATATTCAAGGCCTGTTACACAAAATTTAATTGATCAAGTTTCTACAAGTTTTAGATTGATCAGTCATAGGAGTAAAAAATAAATTGTACAATCTCCCATTCAAAAAACAAAAAAGAGTTGAAGAACAAAATCTAATAGGATGATTATCACACTTTAAATTTCTCTGTCTTCAAAATGAATCTGTAGTTCTCCATGGTTATCAAGCTTGTTATCAACAAGTGGAATAACTAGAGGGTGATGACCAACGAATAGCGCGACGTGGCCCATGAGCTTATCCTTCCTAGAGAAGGTGGTTCCACAGGAGCACTGCCATTTCCGATCACCACAGTGCTTTTCATGAGTCCTCAAATCCGAAAGCACCGAAAACTGTTTTCTGTTGCATCTTTTACACACATACATCTTAGGGCAATGACTTCTTTTGTAATGGTTTTTAACACATATAATGGACTTAAGAGGTTGGAATTTAGCATGGTTTTTGTTCCACCTGCACCCCATCTGTGGGCAGGAGTACTTCCTCGGTGTCCTGATCGCGCTGTTTTGATCCTCTGCTTCTTTCTTTAAAGGGTTGCTGAGGGCTGCAGTAGACTTATACTCGTCTCCATGTGCTCGCATATGCATCCTAAGGTTGGCATCGCGCTTAAACCCTTTACCACATACTTGACAGTAATGAGTATACTTTGCTAACAGATCTGCTGCATCTGGCTCTACAAGATCGTATGCCTCAGTCAACGACTTCCTATCTCGGGCCAGTTTACTGCTTGTCTGAGCCTTAACATACTTCGATTTCTCCCCTTTCACTACTGTTGTTGTGGTTATGCTGGCAGTCGTCGTAGTTCTTGAGCAACTGTCAGCTCGCGTACTGATGTAATTGTTGCAGGCTGCAGTACTAGTATCATTGTACCAATTGTAGATGTTATCTCCATCTACGAACATATTGTTATTCTTACTAACATCACAGCTAACAAATTGCTGCAGTCCATCATCAGGCCTTTGCTGTTTAATATGGTGCTGACCGTCTGCAGTCTGCATATAATCGCGACTAATGCTGTTGCTGTTATTACCTGCAGTTTGCGTCGAACCAAGGGTCATTTGTTGACAGTTGAACATCATAGATGATGCTGTCACGACGACTTCTTGTATCAGAGTGCCAATGTTTGCAAAAGGCACCGGAGAGGTTGACAACGTCGTGACTGGTTGACTTTGATGATGATGATGGCTTTCTTGGGGGAGGAAGAGGTTTACCAATGATTCGACCTCGTGAAGTTTCTGCTTCAGAATTGATAGGCTGCAGAGAAGAGATTTAAGCTGAGTCTCTGACCCTCCAACTCCACCACCACCACCACCACCAAAGCTAGCCTCTATTACATCATGGTACAATTGTTGGCTAGGGTGGTGTATACCGCCTTCGGGCTCGGATGTGCTAGGAAAACAAGGGGGTAATTCTGTTATCATTTGAAGGATCTATCTTTTGTGTAACTATAAATTTTTCAAGGACTAGATGACTTTCTTGTCTAATCCAAGGGTATAAATGGTAAAAACCTTTTTGAAATTTTCTTCCTGTATAAGAGGGTGTTTTCCGAATAAAAATACCTGATAAAACTTTTAACTCGAGTTTCTCTCTACCTTCGTGTTTAAACAATATCACCCTTAAAACATGTTTGTTTGTCGATAATTTATCGATTTGGCTCTAATTCCTACAACATTATTAATGTGACGTGCTAGAATTTGGTTAAATCTTTTCAAGATCACTCTTTCTCTTGGTGTATGTACTATGGTGGCTTGTTATGTATATTTGATGAAATGATCTCAAATTCAGACCGTTGAGAACACACGTTAGGCTATATATACAATATTCATTTATTTGTATAAGTCAACTATATTAGAATATTGTTACAAAATAGATTATTTGGTTAAGCCCATCCCTAAATGCCACCTTCCTCAGATATCTCTATTTGATTGCCAGTATGACAATTGATTTGTTTAAGAGTTAATGAAACGAGCTGTTTCGTGAAGCTGTTTCATTGTCTAAAGCTTAAGAATTGTATTTGTATTAGTTTAATCAAGAGTATGCCCTTCATACATGGTGAACATTATATACCTCGAGCACTTTACCAAGATAAATTTGATCAGGTTGTAAGAATAGTACTATCTCCATTTCATATTTTTTGTAATTTTGGGATACTATTTATGAAATATAAAATATTCCAAAGTTGTAAAAAATATAAAACAAAGGTAGTACATGTTATATTGAGGATTTAATCTCTAATAGAAACACTTTAGGTAGGAGAATGTTAATTACTCTTTTTCCTTACTATTGAAGTGTCTAATTTGCTAACTTGAATCGAGTTGACCGATGCATGGTTTCGATTTAGGGGCAAATTATCTTAACTTCAAAAAATAAGACAAGCATATTATTATACCCCTCAGATCATATTCTGACCTTATAATTTCCTTCATTGCCAAGAAGATATATTACGCGGTTTGTTTCTAAAGAAATGCATCTGCAAGGAACACATAAATTTGACTATTGATATATTTTAATTTACATTACTAATTAAAGTGTAATAATAAAATCAATATTATGATAATATAGATTATTTATTGTGACTAATCCAACACCATGCATATTAATTAAAAATAACGGAATAATTATTATTTTTATAATTTAGTAAAAAAAAAAAAAAAGTCAAATCTAGTAATCCCTCCGTTTCATAATTCGAAGCCTATTTCTTTATTATGTGAGTAATAAATGTTAGAAATAGGCTTTTAATCATGAAACGGAGGGAGTATATGATATATAGTCCATAAAGTTAATTTGATGAACTTGTATAGAAATGGAAGGAGTAAAATAATAATGTAGTTTTTTGTTTTTTCCTCTCAAATTATTGTGGGATAAATAGAAAAAACACTCGGTAAACAAACATTAAACCCTAATTTGGGATAGAGAGAATGCATTCGCTCCTTTTGCAAAATCTAAAACTTGAAGAAAGATGGTCAATTGGAATAATAATTTTCTCTTTTTATTGCAAGGTAAGTGTTTTGATTATTTTATAATCATAAAGGGCTAAGGTTGATTATCTTCTCATCTCAATATGATCACTGACTCCCATGAGACTAGAGTCGATTTATCCCGATAATTTCTCACACGACTTTTTAAAAAGGAATACAATACAATAAAAAAGAGTAATATATGTATTAATACGGTTTTGGATTCGTATTAATTATTAAAGTCGTTGTCTATCATCTTCAAATGTCTCTTTCATAAAACTTCACTAATATAGAATTAGAACTGAGGAGGTAAATAAGCGTCATCTCTCACGTATATATGAAATAGGTTTAATATATAACAAGTTCAACTAGTTCGTCATAGAAGAGATGACAAAGTAGCTAGTTGACATACATGTATGCTTTGTATTTAAAACAATCTAATAATACATTAAGAAAGCATGCACACCCATGCTTTATTATTGTTGCTCACATAAATATGATTGTGACCAGAACTGCTGAGCACATTTCCACTTTCAGTCCGACAATAATAAAGGCTAAGTCGAAGTTGAACTATTTCTTTAAGCAACGTGGCAATTGTATTCCTCATTTTATTTGGATCTTATAGCTTGTCTTATGACTTTCGAATTATGATGACATATAGAAGTATTTAACACACATAATACTAAATTAGCTACTATCATCAAAGATTTATAGTTAAAAAAAAACATTAATGAATACTTAGCTTAATTAGTGTAGAGGTGAAACTTCACTTTGCGGTGTGTTTATAGCTCAAACCGAAACCAACTTATATTAATTCGGTTTGGAATTTTTAAAACCGCATCGCACCATATTATTATACGGTCCACAAAAAAACAAACCGTTTTTAATTCGGTTTTCCAAGAAAAAGAAAAACTAAACCGCACCACAATTTTTTGAGCCTAGTGTTTGAGCTTTGATTTGTAACTTTTTGGGCCTGATTCAACATGACTTGTTTTTGGCCTTATATAGTAGGACTGAAAATCAGAAATGGGCTGTAATTTGGATATGGGCCTATATTTTGGTTTGATTTTCGGTTCTTCGAATTCTAAAACCGAAACCAAACTGCAAACCGCAACTTTTTTATTTCTCAAACCGTACTAAATCATATTAACAAAAAAAAACCGGACCACATTACTAATTCAGTTAGGTCTGCAATTTGGCTCAGGACATTGAGTCATAAGTTCAAATCCCCCGTAATACAAAATCACTACAGTCTCTTAAATCCACACCGTGTGATTGACTAATTATTGTTTTATTTAGCATAACGTATGTAAGGTTAATTATCGAACATAGAATGACATAAAATAAAATTAATTAAGTTCATTATGAATTCTATAAGAAGATGAGCATCTTTCTATTGATAGGACAACCAACCTAAGTGATTTGACTAGACTATGCTGGATTAAGTAGGCATCGTCAAGATCGTGTTTTTAAGGCTTATGTAATTAACTTGATGCAATTACAATTTGGATCGTGACAAGTTCATCCCTCATTTACATGCCAATTAATAAAATTAAAGTTGACTTGAGATTTATATAATACATTATTCATATTACACATATGAGCTAGGAATAAATATTACTAGCCCACGGTACCATACATTTTCATAGTTAAGCACTTAAGCTAGAGGGAAAAGGCTAATTTAAGGATATGAATTGAGAAGCTAAGGTTATTAATGCATTAGGTTAAACAAGGAATGAAAACATAAATGAGTGGTCATCGACTCATGATACATCTAAAATAAAGATACAAAAATTTCCAAGAATAAGTTTTTCCTGGAAATATGTTGTTTGGTTAAACTTAGAAAGCATATTTGTTCATTTTTAAAAAAAAATCCACTTATAAGGGAGACTTTTTAGTAAAAAAAAAATGTGGATTTTGGTGTTTTTTTTTCCGACCAAACAACTCCATATATAATATTTGATTTCTTAAGATACTAATTTAATTCCTACAATTCTCATATCACAAACAAACACTAAGTGGTAATATTTAATTCCTAAGGGTTGTTTGTTTCATTTGATTTTGTCTGAAATTATATTAGCTTTATATACTCTATCACTTACCTTATACAAGTATAATTTGTCTGAAGTTGTATTATTATTATTATTATTATTATTATTTTTTAAGGGAAGTTGTATTATTTTAATTGCAAATATATTGTTTTGTCTGAACTATAAATTAAAATAAACTTATAAAATTAAAGAATATTAAAAAAAATTAAAAAATTAAAAAAAAAAAAACCTCTAAGCTAGCTCTCTATTCTCGCTCTCTCCTTAACCCTAACCTCTATTGTTTTATTTGGAAAGGACTTCCATCGGTTTTTACCAATGAAAATCCCCAATCTTACTTGTTTGGATATTTTTTCGCTTTTACTTATTTTTTAGGTTTATAATAACACTTCATCCTTTTGAGATGAGCTTTTCTCCCTCAAAAGACATGATTTAATTTATTTATTATATTTCAGCTCCTTTAAAAGACAAGGTGTTTCAATCTGTCTCGAAAGCTAGAATTTTTCTTCTTCTCTTTTCAAAAAAGACTTTTCTTATATTAATATTTAGGATTTTAGATCTAATGATTTGCTTTGAAAATTGTTTAGTTTGTTTGGGATTGTAAAAGTTATTGATCAAATTTTCGAATAAAATAAGATGAATCAAATGAAAGTCATTGTAGCTAAATTAGCTACTAAAAAAAAACGAAAGTCATTTTAGGGACTACAAAGTTAAAAGGGTTGTATTATCTATCAGCGATATAACCAAGAAATGTTCCACCATGTACAAATTACTTGGTGATTGTGGTTTTATGCAGGAAATCTTTATTTGATTCAATAAGTTATGTATTTTGTAAATTCAAATTTCTTTTGTTAATATCAAACTTTATATTAATGGATTGATTAGACCGTTAAAAAATATTGTTTGAAATTATCAAGGAAGAAATTTATTATGTCTAAGGCCCTATTTACTTCACCTTACAAAAATATTTAGTAAAAATAATTTTAATTCAGTAAAAATAAGTTTAGTTCAATAAAAAATAATATCGGTTCAGTAAAAATCAGAAACTTTAAAGAACAAATATAATAGAGAATCAGTAAAAATTCAGTTCAATAAAAATAATTTCAATTTAGTAAAAATAGTTTAAGCTCAGCAAAAATATATTTAGTTTAGTAAAAATAATTTCAATTCAGCAAAAATAAGGTGAAGTGAACAAGGCCTAAACCTACTCATCTTGAACTTTGTTTCTAAACTTAATTTAACTAACTTATTTTGTTTGAACTTATTTTTTTTTCTAAATCTAATGTATAAGAATTGAAAATATCTAAACTTATTTTGTTTAAACTAATTAATCTCAACACATTTTTTAAAAACTTATTTAGTTTAAATTTAATATGTTTAAAATACGATAAAATAAGTTAAAATAAGATGAAGCAAATAGATCCTAAGTCTAAAAGGGCGGATAAGAATGAAAATAACTCGTTAGGTATTCTTTAGACTCTCCAAATTTGGCATTAGATTATTATTCAAATTCAAGTTAAATTTTACGGATTTTTCACCATATACCACTGAGTTTTAACTTAATTCACCATATACCACCAAAAACTTTCTAACACACCATGTACCATTGAGTTTAACATAAATGTCACAACATGCCCTTAATGACTAACGTCGTTAACTCCATTAGTAATTAAGGTTAATTGTGCCACGTGGCTGTCACTTATTGGCTCTTATTAATATTATTTAATTAATTACTTAAATAAAGAATTAAAAAAACTTTAAAAAAAATTAAATAAATAAACCACCACCAACCTAGCCACCGCTGCCCTCCAGCCCAGCCCAGCCCTGGCCGGCGCCTAGGTGGTCGGCGTCCATCACCCTTCCCCCACCGGCGACAACCCCCGCCCCCAACCCTCTCCTTTCCCCCCGATCCTTTCCCCGATTTCCACAACCCCACCACCAGTTTACCTCCCAACCACCCTCTCACCTATCAGCAGTGCCTTCCCCACCCCGGCGACCAGCCATACAGGCCCTCCAACGCCGGCCGACCCACCCCCTACCTTTAATCCTTACCTCGACCCTCTCCCTTCCCCCATCGTGCCACTAGTCAAACCCTAATTCACGAAATCACTCCCTAGCTCCAACAAAAAACCCGATTTTTTGTACTTTTCACTCCTCCAACCAGGTCCATTCTTCTCGTGGGTGGGTTTTGGTGTGGTTGAAAGGGTTTCAGGGGTTGTAGGTAGATTTTCGGGAGTGGTGGTTGGTTTTAGAGGTTGTGGGTGGTTTTCAATTGTTGTGGTGGGGGTTGTGGATGGATTTTCGGGAGTGGTGGTGGTTTTCAAGGGTCGTGGCTAGGGTGAGGGGCGGCGCCGGCGTAGGGGAAGGGGAGTTTGGGCGCCGACGACAGGGTGGAAGGCAAGTTGGGGGCGGGGAGGGTGGTTGACTGGCTGGGCTTGGGGTGGTGGGTTTTTTTTTTTTTAGTTTTTTTAAATATTTTTTTAATTAATTATTTAATTTAAATAAGAACCACTCAAATGCTGCCACATGTCATAGTTAACATTAATAACTAACCGAACTAACTGAAAATGGCATGTTGTGACATTTATGTTAAACTCAGTGGTACATGGTGAATTAAAAAGTTTTTAGTGGTATACGGTGACTGAAGTTAAAACTCAGTGATATATGGTGAAAAAACCGTAAATTTTATGTTTCTCTCAATCAAATATTAACTTAATACTCGTAATATATGGGCGTGACTGTACCAGAATCTAATGAAATAGAAAGTTCCACTTGTTTGTACCATATAATATTTAACATATATAGCCATCAACTAATTATTGATTTTATGCTTGATAAAGTTGGCTTTTGTTGGCATTTGTAAACTTTACCTATGTTTTTCCCCCTTCTACATGTTTATACACGGGCAAATATACACTTGTCAATAATAAAAGGAAGTCTAGACTCTAGAATTATATTTTGTGGTTGGTGATTAAGGCATTTTTGCTAAAAGATTGTCTAACACTCCAAGCTTTGAAGGTAAAGAACGAGCAAATTCAAGTTTATAACAATGGCCTTGTTTAGTTGGGTGTAAAATGTTTTCAATGGAAAATAATTTTTCATGAAAAACTTTTTCCATTAGAAAATGTAATTTCCTACACATTTTCCCTTGTTTGGTTACATGTAAACTGATTTTACTTTTTAAGCATTTTCCGTCGTTTGGTTCAATAGAAAATCAACACCTTTTTTTTTTAATTATTTTTTTATTTTTTTATTCTTTGTCTATCCTATAATTTTAAGGAAGATATTATCAGTTTTTTTTTCATATCGTACTACTACTAATAATAATAATCCTTGAACTTTTTCTAAGCTAACTTTGAATTTGTTTTTGTAAATATTAAATACAATTTAGAACATAAAAGGATAAAAACTAGCATAATTAAATCATATTAGTAAGATAAAATGTTGTAGACTAGTACAAAGTAGCAGCAACAACTCAAATACCAAGACATTACAGAATACTTTACTTTCTACGTACTCATAGTAGTAGACATTTGTAGTAAGTAGTTGTAGACAAACAATAAAAACATACTCATTCTAATTTTAACGATTAAGGGAATTTATAAAGTTTTGGATCCAAACTCTTTGAAGAGGTTTGCTCTTTGTCAAAAAAAGCTTTGGCAAGCATCTCGCGCTCAACCAAGTGGTCAAATGCGGCATCACGAACTGCTTCTTCAAAATCATCCATTTTCATTATCTCTTCATAAAGTTTCTCCACATCAATTTGGTTGTTTGAGAATTTCTTCAGGGCACTAACCACTTCTCCTAGTTGATTAGATATTTGTTGCAAGTCACAAGTGTCATCTTCACCTCTAGTCCTCTTACAATGTTTGTCTTGGCTCTGAAGAAGTGGTACTATCTGATTTCGATGGTCCATTTTCTGTCATACTTGTAGGCTGCCCTTGTCCACTCTCATTGCTAAGTTCAATATCAGCAAAACTCTTAGAAAAGTCACCACGAGCCATGTCTTTACCAACCACGATTGCTATTTCTTCATACATGTCAATTTTTCGGTTGAGATATTTCTCATGAGAAGGATTTTCCTGTATACCAAAGGAAAAAAAATATCAGAGAAATACTTGAAGCATACTTGAGTTGAAACATGACTGCTGTATGTAACATTCACTGCCCTCATACAAAAGTATATCAATGAAATACTTAAAGTTCAAAGTCAGACACCAATACAAACATTTGACTGTTGTTTAACATTCACTGCCCTCATGCAAAAGGTTAGCAAAACCAAGAAAATCATTTACCATATATTCCCATGCAAATGATTAGAAGTACATCAATCTTTTAATTTCATTTATTCTTATCCATAACATATCCGATTTTCCATATGTCAGCATACTCATTATGGATAAAATTTGCTACACAGAGATGACAACACCTAATGTGTATTTCACAAAAAAAAAAAAAAAAAAAAAAAAAAAAAAATTCAAACCACCCAAAAAGAAGCTATACCAAATAAAACAATTACAACTGCTAAAATAGGAAATAATGCCTTATTTACTGACCTATTTATAGACTCAACACTGAGAGGCTAATTAATCTACCAATTTACTACCAGTGAGCTTTTTGTAATTCTTAATCCTAGTCAAACTTATATTTAAGAAGAAGGAGAGTACTAGAGATCAAAACACGTAAAATTAAGCTAGAATGATACCTGAATATAATTATTGTAAGCATTAGGAGATGTTGTTACCATCTTCACTGTGTCATTCCACCCAAATCCAGAGTTACCACGAACTTTCGATGTGATTCCCCAATTAGCTCTCACTGTCCTCATGTGGTTCTCAACATGGTCAGCTGTGCAGGAAGTTCTAAATTTTTCTGATTTTTTTTTCTTTTTTAACAAAAGAGCTTGTTCTGAAAGTGTTATTTGGCCTATTTCCCTTTCTCACTTCTTCTGCAAGAAATACTAGCAACTCCTTGGACATTTATTTTGACCAACGAAAATTCCCCTTTTTTTTCCCTCATTCTTCGCCTGCAATGGTAGATACACATGCTTGTCATATGCAAATCACATGAATTATCAAGAAAATCTCATCATTTCAGATACAATCACCAAAATAAAAGTTCATGTAGTTAAGGAGAATATAAACATCTTTGCAATTTCTAGTTCAAATCATTAGTGTAACCCATTACAACATAAGAAAATAGAAAGACTTCAGGTTGTTCGAGGCTTCTTGTATGCAGTCCACATGGCGGATGCTATGGCATTTCTTTTTTAAAACACACTCATTTGTTTCTTCTCGCATTTCCCTTCGAGTAAGCAATGTTCTTGTATCTAGTGAATCCATCTCCAAGTCTACCTCTCTAGTTATCGAGTCATTAGGATCCACACCCTTAAGGAAGTTGTGTATCACACAATATGCTAAAACCACATCAACCTGGGTTTTAAATGACCAAAAAGGCTCAGCATCCAAGACACGAAACCTCGTCTTTAGAATTCCAAACGCCCTCTCCACAACCATTCTAATTGAAGAGTGTCGAAGGTTGAATAACTCCCGTTCATTTTCTGGAGGATTGTTCAGTGTCAAATAGTTTTTCAGTCTAAATTTTCCTTTTCATATCCGGCCCAAACCAAACAATGTAAAATAAGAAAAATAGTTTTTCTGAAAAAGGTTTTCAGCTAAACCAAATAGGGCCAATGATGTGAAACTAATTTGTGTAAATAAGTTGCCTTGGAAAACGAAAAAAACAATTAAAAATTTTCTACTAGACACCTGGCTAGTAACTCACGGTAACCATGATTAAGAGCTAAACCAAGTCCGTTTATTTGTATCATGTTTTCATCTATTGAAGGCTCTGCGCTGCTGTTGTTACCGCCGGTTGGAGCTATTGTTCTTTGGCGATCGGAGCCTTAACGGTGGTTTAAAATCTTTAATTTTATCATCGAACAAGTAAGCGTCGAGCACCGTTATTATGACCATTGTTGAGCAGTTTAGTTTTAATGGAGGACATGGTCACCCTTACCCTTAGGGGTTGACCATGCCCTTAATTTCACCCTTTTTTCTAGGGTTTTTTGTTTATGTCGGCGCCGGATGGGGTCATCTCCGGTGGTCTTCAATGGTGTTGTCTTCGATGTGAGCTTCAATGGAGGAGGAAGGAGGAGCAAGGAGCAAGGAGCAAGGAGCAAGGAGGAGGAAGAAGGAGATTGATACGGTGTGAGTGATTGAAGTTAACTAGAGTTCATAAAGTTAACTCAGGTAAAAACCAAATTACATATTTATCCTTCAATGTGAGCAACTGGGGATTCCTCGTAAAGAACGTCTCACGTCATATGAAACCCCCCAACCACCTCTCTCTCTCTCAAAAAAAAAAAAAAAAAAAAAACCTTCCTCGATTATTTATGGTCAGGAGTAAATAATGTAAAATAAAAGTTCAAACATTGCAATATTTATAGATCGGACAAAATTTACTTTTGTTTTTCCATACTTAATTATACATGTAATTTTATGCATGTTAACCTACAATTCTTACCGTGAAGATATGTTAAAGATATAATTCGAGATTAACCCAACAATGAACAATTAAAATATTGAAAATTATTTATATTCATGCGTTAGCAATAAATTGTGATTAAAGACTTTGTATGCATTAATGGCGTAAATTAACCTTGTATTGTAAAATAGAAGAAGCATACAAACTACTACGGACAAACTTCCTTCAAATAATTACTCCGTACTTCGTATAAACACATATGCTTCCTTCACATTTTTAAGTGGATTTTTTCCCAAATTGAGCTTTATTGGGAAATTATTTACCAAATTGGTCTCGTGGCAAAAGTATTTCCCAAACTAAGCTTCTGGGGTGAAACGTTGTCTCGGACAGCGTTTTACACCCAGATTTTTTTTTAAAAAAATCAAGAAGTAAAACGCTGTCTCAGACAGCGTTTTATGGTGTTGACCTATTGGTATGTATTTTGGCAAAATATACTAGTATATTTTGCCAAATTATACTGGAATATGTATATGGGCTTTAAAACGCTGCCTGAGGCAGCGTTTTATGTTAAAGCATAAAACGCTGCCTGAGGCAGCGTTTAATGTTATAGCATAAAACGCTGCCTCAGGCAGCGTTTAATGTTCTGCTTGACTGCATCACCAGCAGCCAGCTGCTGTTCCTGTCCATATGCTGCTGCCCCTACACATCATCCTCACCCAGCAGCCTTAGCCTCAGCCTCACCATCAACCACCACCCCCACCACCAACCACCTCCCCCACCACCACCGGCCGCCACTCTCGACGACCCCTATGCAATGCAAATCACCCTAAACAACGCAAGAGCATTCCTACCACCCCCACCATCAACCACCACCCCCACCACCATCAACCACCTCCCCCACCACCACCGACCGCCACTCTCGACCACCCATATGCAATGCAAAACACCCTAAACAACGCAAGAGCATTCCCACCACCCCCACCATCAACCACCACCCCCACCACCATCAACCACCTCCCCCACCACCACCGGCCGCCACTCTCGACCACCCATATAAAATGCAAATATATGCTGCTTGATATATATAACGGCGATAAAAGATATAGTTTCACTGACAAAAGTCAAATTCGGACAAATAAGGGAAATAAACTTCAAATTGTACAGAGAGTCATTTAAAAAACATATCTTGTATTAATAATGTAAGCATTATATATAACATTGTTAAATATCTGAGTACCATAAAAAGATCAACTAACTAATACTATCCAGACTCATGTATTGGAGTTAACTGATCTTCATCCTGTGTGTCCTTTGTCCGTCTACGAACACGCCTCGGACGCCTCGTGTAATGCTGAATGGTGGTGAATGGGTCTCGGGACGGTGGAGGAGTCACCTGGCGAGAGGATGAGTCATCATGGCTGTGGCCGGGAGCGGTGTTATGGATGAAGTAATCCTCTGCCTGCGTAGAGCTCGAAGTATGACCTCCACCACTACTCTGTCCGAAGTCGAACTGTGAATGGAAGGAGTTGGGGTCATGATCGTCCCTGGGGTGGACGAGATGACCATGGCCATATCTCTGCAAGCTATGTATGCCCATATCTCGCACCCGCTCAACCTGGGCTCTGGTGGGCACGGCTGCTAAGGCATCTGAAAGTGCATCAACCATCGCACCCATATCCCCCGCCTGCAGTAATCATCCATGACTTAGTAATATGATATAGAATTTCAAATAATTTTGGAAAACAAGAAAATGAAATAAACTTACAAGTCCGCTGATAACATCATAAGCTGGATGGTAGTGCGTGGACGGTGGAGTGTAGGCAGGGTTGATGAAAAGGCGTGTAATCTGCCTGTACCATACCATGTAAGGATCACGCGGATCCATAACACCCTGAAATAGGTGACCGTCAACGACGGACTCCAACCGCTGGTCCCAAAGCTCAATGAATTGATGATGCTCTAGTGCCCAGTTTGTCTCCAACTTTCCACGACGGTCAATGTCGTGGAGGCGAATATTAGTGTCACAGGGCATGGGGATAGGCTGGTGAAGTCCGAACTGTCGCAACACTCGGTCCGGTAGGTGGCTCTCCACGACCTCGAAACAGATCATGGGGGTCCTGGCAAGCCACTCAGCACGATGCTCGAGCAAGTGTTCCGGCATGGCCTCTACCAACACAACAGAATAGGGATCCCATGTCATCTGCAATAAGGAAATATCGTAAATAGGTTAGGGTAATGCCAATAAACAGTATAAAGAGTAAACAAACGATTACAAATTTATTGCAAGATTCCACCTGTTCATCCGTGACTCGGTCGAGGGCGTCACGGTAGTAGAGAAGACCTCTCGCTGTATGCGCATGTGTCAGTCTGGGAACCACCCACCTGTGGCAACAAATTATTTAAGAAGTTGTACTAGCTAATTATAACAAAATGCGGCAACACAAGTGTAATGTTACGAACCTACAACCGTATGCCTGATCGGGTTCAGGGAGCGGGGGAGCATCGTATGCTGCGTACTGATCGTCCTGGTCCAGCTGCCCCGGACGGTGTACAACAGGCCTACCTGGTCTCCCTACATGGATGTGCTCCCAAGCCCATAGCTGTTTTAAAAATAAAATAAAAAGGTAAAGCATAAATAACGTCAAGTCATTATCAAACTAGGCTTAAGGATAATGATGAGGTTTACCTGTAGCACAACCAAAGGACCTACGATCAGCTGTGCTCCACGCTGTGATGCTCTACACAGATGGCGATACAAGACCGCCAAACAAGCACTACCCCAACTGTATCCACGGATCTCATCCCAGTCGTGGTCTAACAGCTGCAGGCAAATAATCTGAAGATGGCTTCCGCTCTTATTTCCAAAGAGCACGCCCGAGATGAGCAGGAACAAGTAAGCTCGGGCGTATCTCTGCACTGTGGCGTCGTCAGCGTCCTGAGGTAAATGTCCAAAAGTGTCGGGTAGCCAACCGATCCTCAGCGCGCTGCCCCTGATCTCGTTTGGCTCTGGCTGAACCCCTAAAACCCGACCTACTAAACCTGCGGGGTCAACCACCACACCCCCTGTCACCGCATTCCCATGTATGGGAAAACGTGTGAGTATCGCGACGTCCCGCAGCGTGACAGTCGCCTCCCCCACAGGAAGATGGAAGGAGTGTGTTTCCTGTCTCCATCTCTCAGCTAATGCAGTGATAAGCCCTCAATCTATTTCTCTGTAGCCCACGCGATGAATACCACCGAAGCCAGCCCAGTCGACGTATTGAAGAACGCGTGGATGGACTGCCCAGCCGGACCTCAAGTGCTTGCACCCCAACATTTCCGCTATGTCCACCTGGTAATTTA